ATGTAATATGATTTCAAACTAAATAATGATGTATTTTGGTATAAAATTGAATAAACTGAAAACCAATATATAAACCAAATCAAACTGAAGTAAATATGGATTTAGAATAGTAGTTATATTTTAATAACCAAAATACGGAAACCCGATATCCAGATTGAACATTCTTAATCTAGATGAAACCGAACTTTTGTTTCATTTTTCAAAACATAATAAAAATAATAATTTCATCCCGCGCAAGGCGCGGGTCTTATCCTAGTAAACAATTACAAAAGGATAAAGATAACTAAAATTAACTTTGAGCGCTTGGGTCCCTTAAAATGGGCCCAGAAGGACACGAGTCAAAAAGGAATGCAGTAGCAATTGCCGCTTCGAAGAGAAAGAAATCTTCGGTAAGCTTCCATGGATTCCTCTAGACTCTCCACATATGTTCTTAGACACTTCTCTTACTTTCTCTCTACGATTGTTCTTACTGCTCGTGAATTCTTTACGGCTCGTTTCTTGATATTGGCCAAGAATCATTTCGTTTGAGAAGCTTGCATGTAGGTTTCTAAGTGTGCTCCTGTTTTGTAATGAAAAGTGTTGATCATGGTTTGCTTCTTTGTTGCTTTTGCAGATCATCTTGCGCTGAGTTTTGCAGGAACAGAAAAATGAATGAACCAAGGCATCCATCAGTGTTTCAGAAGCTTCATGGACAATCCTCCTTTATTAGTATACTCTCTCCGAGTGTGCAAACTCGTAATCACAGCGTGTCTGGTGCTTATGTCAATGGAGGCTTGCAGAGTCTATTACAGTCAAATAATCATGACACTTTCATTATACCACGTGGTTCAGTTCCAGTACTTGCTCAAGCGCCTACCGAGAAAACTAGTACTGGTTTCTTGATCGATTTCCTCATGGGAGGAGTCTCGGCTGCTGTTTCAAAGACTGCAGCCGCGCCTATTGAGCGTGTGAAGCTCTTGATTCAGAACCAAGATGAAATGATAAGAGCAGGGCGTCTCTCTGAACCATACAAAGGAATCACTGACTGTTTTAGCCGTACAGTCAAAGACGAAGGCATGCTCTCTCTTTGGAGAGGCAACACTGCCAATGTTCTTAGATACTTCCCCACTCAGGTTAAGCTTCTTATGTTTGGTTCTTGCATGCATGTTTAGATGGTTGTGCAGAGGACCAGTGCTGACATTGTGGAGCCTATAAACAATTTAGTAAGATTTTATTTAACAATTTAGTAAGATCTTTTTAGAATTGAAATTTGGGACTTTTATGGAAATTATTTTAAAATTTTGGGGGTTATACACTATGCCAAAACATTCATCTTTTTTTTTTTTTTTTTTTTTTTTTTTTTTTTTTTGTAACAACCAAAACATTCATCTTGTCACTTTTTTTTTCTCACAATGATTTTTTTTGTCACAATGAAAATACAAAGACGAATCTTGGTATGAATCCGCTAAGGATGAGTTGCTAATATTGGTCCACTGTGGTACCTGACGTACCGACATGTTAACATATGAGAAAACACCTAAATTTTAAAGAACTGTTGTACATAAGAAAATATATAAATTCAGATTATAACTTTAGATTGTAGATTTTTTTTTTCTTTATCTGAAAATGTAAATGGCCCTGTGAATGTGTCAGGCATAAGTTTATTTATGTTTTTGCAGGCTTTGAACTTTGCGTTCAAAGACTACTTCAAACGTCTGTTCAACTTCAAGAAAGAAAAAGATGGATACTGGAAGTGGTTTGCAGGTAACTTGGCGTCTGGTGGTGCAGCTGGTGCAACGTCTCTGCTTTTCGTCTACTCTTTAGATTACGCACGTACCCGTTTAGCCAACGATGCCAAAGCAGCCAAGAAAGGTGGCCAGAGGCAGTTTAATGGCATAGTTGACGTGTACAAGAAGACTATAGCCTCTGATGGTGTTGTAGGGCTATACCGCGGTTTCAACATCTCATGTGTTGGTATCATCGTGTACCGTGGGCTCTACTTTGGTTTGTATGATTCCTTGAAGCCTGTGGTTCTTGTAGATGGTCTTGAGGTAAAACTCTTCACTTCAACACATTGACAAGTCCTTTGTTAGTACTCTTTACACGTTTGGTTTTATAGGATAATTTCTTGGCGAGTTTTCTGTTGGGATGGGGAATAACCATTGGAGCTGGACTGGCGTCTTACCCGATAGACACAGTGCGTAGAAGAATGATGATGACATCAGGGGAAGCAGTGAAGTACACAAGCTCTATTCAGGCCTTTAATCAGATTGTGAAGAAAGAAGGGGCCAAGTCGCTTTTCAAAGGTGCGGGTGCCAACATTCTTCGTGCTGTTGCAGGGGCTGGTGTGCTCGCTGGATATGACAAGCTTCAGCTTCTTGTGTTTGGCAAGAAGTACGGCTCTGGTAGTGGCTAAAAATGATGATCAAAGAAAAGTTCTGAGGTGTACAAGTGAATAAATCTGTGTGTTTTTATCGAATGTACTCTGTGAAGTTGTAGTTATGTGACTTCATTCCAACAAAAAAATAAACTATGGAGAACACTGGATATAAATCATAGAGTTGGACTATAAGCGATCTTGGACATGAGTTAGAAGAGTTTTTTGTTGGAGATAAACACTGGATCCATAACTTGTTTTTCAGTGGCTCTCTCTTCTTATATTTCATGTCCTTATCTTGCAGAGATCTTGGACATGAGTTAGAAGAGTAATTTTAGTGGATCATGTACCCTGCAGCCTCACTGGGATAGGCCATTATGAGCTGCTTAATCTGGACACTAACATGTTAATGGCACTGTCGCTCTTGGAGTCTGCGTTCTGCCCTGTCTGCTGAACCTTACCGTCTCCAGCCTGAGTTCCAGAGGAATAACTTGTAACAATCATCTGCCTAACAAACCGCTCCAGTGAAGCAAAAACCACAAGCTATACTTGACCACCCCCTAGACAGCGAATGCTTAGCAATGGCTCCTCCAGCTTCTCCACCTACCACAGTACCTGCCATTGCTACTGGTCCAGCTTTTACGCATAAAGATTTCACAATGGAAAATGAAAGAACAAGAAATGTGGAAAGATTCGGTTGTGGAGTGAAAGAATATACACTAAGATTGTTAACATTAAATTGTTTATACAGAGAACACAATGTCTATTCGTAGCCTCTAGCTGCGGTTACAGATATTCCGTATTTGCTTTTGCTTTCATCTAAAAAAACGTCTACACCTCTCCAAGGACATCAAATCAAAGAGCCACCAGCCCCACCTGTTTCAGAAATCAATTTTCGCAGCAATTAAAAACAACACTCAAATACAAGCATGGTCCCTCAAAAGACCAATCAATCACAGAGCCAAGACAATAATGAAAACTTTGAGCTTTGGAAGTTCGATTTGAGTTGTTACCTCGCAAATTAAACTTGAGTGAAGTCTGTACATCCTAACAAACCGAAAAACATCCTCTAAGCTGGAGGAAGGGAACGCCGACAAGTCGGGCACTCCATCTTTATATCCATCCATCTCTGTAAGCATCCCGTGTGGAAGAGATGTTCACATGGAGTTACCTGTTTTCACAACAAGCACGCTCATGATTCTCTCTATTAAGAGAAACGAGAGTTAGGTTTCTGGGTGAAGAAATAGCTCTACCATGAAATCACTGGTACGCTGTCTGAGATTGATAGCGGTCATGCAGATGACACAATCAGTGTTGCGACTTACGTCCTGATTAAATCTTCTATGGTAGTTGTATTTCTCTGGTAGCATCTGCACATCGATAAAAACGATGAATAAAAGAGATTGGTGGAGATGTAAAAGAACAAACAAACAAACCTGCCGGGGAACAAAGCAACGTGAACCAAAGTAATGCTGAAGAAGTAGAATGGCAGCTTGCAACCCCATGAATGTGCACAAGCACACGCACCAGACCTTGCTAGGCCCTATACGCATGAAGTTGTGTGGGCATCCAAAAACATATAACGGTATAGCTAAACGTGTAGCAGTCATGCCCACGATGTAATACGGGTGCAGAGGCTTTCTTGAATCTCGGATGACATTGGTGACTATCTGTGGTATCCAAAATGAGTACATGAGAAGAAGAATCGGCCGCATGTAGTTGTGGAGCTCGTACATTATCAATATGCCACCAAGAAGGATCCCATCTGTTAAAATATTGTGATAATGATAGAAACATCACCGTTAGCATAAGACATGACTAATATCATAAAAGTGCAGCACGAAAAGAGTTTGAAGCTTGAAGCGGATAACTAAAAACTCACAGAAACGGCTGTACAGAAAAGACAGTTCACGCCTCATTGTTTCCCAACCTTCTCCACTGTTGGAAGGCCTGGTTGCTTTCCATATGGCCAGAAGATATCTCATCTCAAAAATCGAAAAGACTACGAATTTGAAGAACGCAGCGGTTGCAAATGCATTAAACAGAGATTCTGCATGAGAGAAAGTTGCAATGTCATGTAGCAAGGGTCAATCATATTACATGACAAAGAAAGTAATAGACTAATGAGAAAATAAGAAAAAAAAGTACTATTATGTGGATATACATACCAACTAATATTCCGGCTGTGAGATGTAAAAGGCATAAGTAAGCATCCATGATTGCTTGATGTCCGATCATGACAATGGATACCTTGGCAGCACCCTTCCATACAACAACTTCCATAAGTTAGCATATATTTACTCATTCTATACAATAATAACGAAATCAGACCATCTAAGCTATATCATATCTTACAGATTGTGTGTTACCGTGCTCCATTTGCCGGATCAACAAAAGAACCTGGAGGAAAGAGACCTACGTGCAACAGAAAGTTAAGGAACAAGCTAAAACTGTACTACTGCTCAACATTCTATTATGACAGGATGAAAGACATTTGAGCAAAGGATACAAAAGTGACCATCAGCGTATAGTTCACAGCTTTGTTATAGTAGACTTCGACATTCACAGAAGTCGCATTCAGGAACAAAGGCGAGAAACAATCTCCGTCATCGCCTACCCCAGGACTTTCCATCAATCCTTCCATGTGATAATAGTTTTTGTCTCCATCTATTAAATATGGAAAACTCCCTCAGCGCACGATTAAATGTGACGTAGGAGACAAAGACTACGCCATGATCAGCCCAATGTTTAGAGTTAGAATGCATACTGTTTTCACTAGAAGCAACACGGGATATCTGAGCTGCTATTTCGATGTTACAGTGCTTATCCATCTCATTTCTTGGCGCTGAAGCACAAGAAAATTGAAGATCAGGGCCGCAGAAAAAAGGTAAACTGTAAGGGAAAGAGTTATGCTGCTGCTTACAAATTTTCCGTTGCAGTAGTCTGTCTCTTGTAGATTCTTGAAACACTTGAGAGGAAAAAATTCCGAGCTGTGCACACATCAGAAAGTTGACCTTAGTAAGCTCTTCGAACATTTTATCAGATCAAACAAGCCATCAGCAGATTAAAGCACTATCATTTCCAAAATGGGTCAAAAGAGCCTTGAACATTACCAGATGATAGGGATTTGAGAGAAGATTATTCTCATCTGGCCCTGCATCACTCTCCTTTCCACTGTTTGGTCAAAATAATGCAAAGACCTTGGAGTCAAGACTCAATAATAAACCTTAAAGTAGTTAAGTAGAACAAACACTAGTACCTGTTAGCCACAAGGCGGAGTTGTCTAAAGGGCCATATATAAACACCTTCCAGACTTATTTGGGCACCACCCAAATTTTGTTCATTGTCAAATACATCATGGAAAAGAACTACACCCTGTTCCATCACCATTTTACAAGTTCAAAGACTGCATGCTATAATCAAGGACGGTCCTATAGTACATACTTTATAAGATAAACTGTTCACCTGAACATAATGCACACCGGTTATCTTTGTTGGAACTGCCACTAACTCAACCACAGAATTACCATTTGATTTCTGGAAGTCTTGAAACTTCGAAGAGCTATTTAAAGAATCCAGAAACTTCCAATTTCCTGAAAATGATATTTGATAAATAGTCCACAGCATAAAGCAACCCTCACATGAGAGGGTTCAGGACTATCGCTAAATGAGCATGTCGTAGATAATCCTAAAGTGTCAAGAAGTACAAAAACGAAGAAAGACATGCCACAAACCTCTATATGTTCCTGTTATGTTCCACGCGGAAAACCGTCCTCCTTCAGGTACTTGCTTTCTACCAAAGAGCCACTACAAGATCACCAAAATCTCACGAATTAAACCATTAAACAAACATTGCCTGGTTAGCCTAACGTAACTATTAACTTGTTCACTTTGCAAATTCTGCTAAAATCCTCTAGCATTACAAACTCAAACCGTAAATCTCATCCAGGACTCTCAACTACCAATCTACCATGAGTACTACTTCTGCAAAACTAACTAGTCACATCTCACCAAGCTAAATACAGAATTATTCTCCCCCATTTCAGTGTATTTCACAGGGTAAAGAAAGCTTGCATACTGATGACAAGCTCAAACAAGCTACACTAGATAGTTTTAAACCATCACACCTTGCTCAATCAAATGATGAAACTTAGAAAGAAGCTACTCTAATCCTACATCTCCATTCAATCTGGTCAGCGTTGTGATAATCATTCGACTCTGATCAGCTCAACATCTCTAGCACTATAATAAGCAGATACTCGCAAACTGATCAGACTTTGTAGCTAGAACAGATCATCCAGCTACACCAACTACATCAAACCTAAGAGCTAAAGCATCAAACTTTTTTTCTGGGAAACATCGAAAGGAAGAAACTTTCGAGAAATCATCAATGAAAACACACACACAAACCTCGTCGCTCCATGTTCGAGCTTTCTCCCTAATGGGTCTAAGCCCCACCGTTTGCTGCGGAAACACCAACCAAATCGATAACCAGAAGATGATCTGAAACTCAAACCCTAATCCCAAAACCCCCAAATGTTGACGCTTCTTCATATCACACAACTCCAAAGCTCCGATTTTTATGACTCAAAACCCTAATTTAAAACAATACCCACAACTAATTCGAGGCTAATTCTCCAAACCCACGTCACTGAAGAACACAATTCAACATAGAAGTTGATTCGAGTGAAGTCAATCGAAACTGAAGGAAGGAAGAAGATAAAGGAGAGGAGGATTGAAGATTCTGTATCTGCCAATTTGTTATGGAGTCGTTGAAGCCTCACGATCAAACTCCTTCTCTAAGTTTAATTTATTAATTTAATTTTGTTTTCTTTTTTTTTCTTGTTGAAATCTCGCATTCTCAGGTCTTTCTTACGCCTTGAAAACTTCTTATTTCCATAACCATTTAGTTTGATAGAGATTAATGTTACATGTTTCAAGTTAAAACATGACTAGAAATGGAATCTCGATTTCACATTTAATAACCGACCAGAACTAGGCCTAATCAGAACGGATATCCACTTATAGAAAATGAAAGTTATTCAAGTTTTGTCTAACTGGTTGGGGGCTTTAAGAGAAAATGCGTAATGCCTTGATCTTGTTGAAAAAGCCCATTATTCATTGTATTAAACTCCTTTTTAGGTAAAACAATAGGAGTACTTTAGGTTTTAACCAAATCATAAGAATTTACAACTCTATTCTAGTTTGGATAATATGTTTTATGAGAACTTACATCTAAGAGTTCAATTTACATTCTTATGAATCCACATTGTAAGTTCTATTTGGAATATGGGATCATCTCTTATGTATTACTCAGTGCAATACCAAAATGAAGTTGATTTTTACATTAATGTATTACTCAGTTTTTATTTCAAAAAATTATATTCTAAAATTAATTGGGAGTATTATAACATTTAGGTGTAACCTGTCATCATTAAGATGATTATCAGATTTTTCAGAAAAAATAGGTTAGTTCATCTAAATATATTATACTTTTATTACATTAATTAGTAATACAGAAAAGAATATTTCTTCATTTTTTTCTTAAATAAAATATATAGAATTATTTAATATGATTAAGATATATATGACAATTAATAATTTTTGAATAATAAAGATTTGAAATAGTTTTTGTATCTTTCATCATTTTTGTTAAAAAACGTGTTTTTAAAAAATCACATTAACCATATAATAAAAATATGTTTTGGTTATATGTTATATTTTGAAATTTTTAAAATGATTATAAATTACTAAAACTTTTAAAAGTTTTACAATAAAAAATTTGTGAACAATGATTTTACTTATTGTTTTAAAAGAATATAAATGATCATAAAATCATATGAATATAAAATATCACTTAATATATATTCAGATTATTTATATATATAGTATCGTTTAAATTAAAATACATAAATATGTTAATTTTGAAATCTGCATTAGAATTTTTTTAAATAATTATAAATTACTAAAATTATTAAAAATCTCAAATTGAAAATTTTGTGATTAATGGTTTATTTTTTTTGTTTACAAGATACATACAAATGTTGGTAAAATCATATGAGTAGAAATTTGGAAGTTTCAATTAAATATTCATATCAAAATATATTATATATCTATGTCAATATCATTTACATTTATAAATAAATAAAAGGATTATTTTGATTTATTTATTTTGATTTATGTGTTTACTCTAGTTCAATTATATACATAATATTTACTCATTTCTAAATTATTCAATATATTTATTATTTCATAATACGTAAATGAGTATAAAATAAATAATAATATGAAAAAATAAATTTGTATACATAATGTTTACCCCACATAATACGTGGATCTTAACCTAGTTTCATTTTATTAAATTTCAATTTTCTTATGCTTACAAAATTTTCATAAAAATAGAATTTATTTAAATTAAACATTTATTTTAAAAATTTACAATAAAACATAAAAGAGATATAATATAACATATATTTTGGTTCAATAATGAACATTGGAATGAAAAGAAAACATGTTATCAAACTTTAACGGTTATATAAACTTTAGAAGAATGAAATAAACAATTTTTGGAACTGTTAAATAAGACAAGTGCAAAAGAATGCATCATTTGAAAATTCAAACAACTAACTAATTGGAACATCTAGTGGAAAATAATCTCTTAAATAAATCATTTCACTATGTGAACTTCCGCAACATAGAACAATAAGTTCCGTAAGCTTAATAAAAATGATTTCAGATTTTAGTTAAATGACTAACTAGTTGAAACATCTGGTGGAAAATGGCTGTTTGCTAGGAGTAAATATAGTGTGTGAAAAGAAGATAGCCGTTAAGTCCACTGCATGTCGAAAACGTGTAAAAAAAAGAAGATCAGGAGCAAAACCAAAACGCTTCAAATTAGTTTGCAGAAATCCATGCAGCCAAAAGCTTCACCCAACGGCTATGACTTCTCTACTTTCACCATAAATACACTTACAAGCACCCAAATGCAACACAGAGTTCAAGAGAGCAAATATTTGAGGTTTAGTTAAAAAATTTGGAGAGATGGGTTTGATCAAAAGCTTTGATGCTTACTTGATGTTTGTGATGTTAATTGGCTTGGTGTTTGCATTAGGCTTATCAAATGGTTACAAGTTCTATGTAGGTGGGAAAGATGGTTGGGTTCGTACTCCTTCCGAGGATTATTCTCATTGGTCTCACCGAAACCGGTTTCAAGTCAACGACACTCTTTGTAAGTAATCTCTCTGTTCTCAACTATACAATACACATTAACGTATCATAATGTCATTACAATGCACGATATATAATATTAACTGGTGTGCAATTGCAAGATTTTAAGTACACAAAGGGAAAAGATTCAGTGTTGGAGGTAAGTCAAGGGGCGTACAACACATGCAACATGACTCACCCCATATCTTCCATCTCAGACGGAGACTCTCTCTTTGTGATTAGCCGTTCAGGTCCATTCTTTTTCGTCAGTGGAAACTCGGAAAACTGTCTCAAAGGCCAGAAGCTAGCCGTTTGGGTCATGTCCACGGCCCACCATAGCCACAGTCCTCATCAGCCATCTCCCTCACCAGCACCGACTCTGTCTCCTGTGGCTTTGTCATCTCCAGCGCCTTCTCCGGGAGTGTTTCTTTCTGACTCAGAAGCTCTTGCTCCGGCTCCAGGACCCGAGAAAGCTCACAATGCGGCCGGAGTGATTGGTCCTGGGGTGGTTTCTTTAGGATTAGTTCTTGTTGTTTTCATAATGGTCTAGGGGTTTCTAATGCGAGTATTAATGTGCCATTTTATGTTTGAACTTTTTCTATGTTTTTTCATTGGTTTAATAGTATCATTCTCTAACCCATTTTATCAGTTGCACCATCTTCACTTATTTTCAAAGACGCTGATGGTCCAAAAAGGATGTATTTTGAAAGAAAATAAAAATGTCAAAAAGTAAAAAATATGCACCAGCCGGGAATCGAACCCGGGTCTGTACCGTGGCAGGGTACTATTCTACCACTAGACCACTGGTGCTTTGTTGTACGAAATGAGCATAAACAACTATTAAAAACACTAAATGACTGTTTATGGAAGTTTTCAAAATATCTTTTTTTTGGTAAGAATGTTAAGAAGTTTCTAAATAAGTCTATTTCAGACATAGGTTAAATTCATGCATATATTATATACAGACAAATCACACAACCTGTATATGCTATATAGTTTATATATACTATAAAAAAAATAGTACATCTCACACTAGCTTCTCACCTTCCTTGAAAAATAGAACTAGAACTCCTAAACGAATTATTAGAGTGAGAAGAGTTCCATACATCTAAGAATGTGGGATGTTGTTGTTGTTGCATTCCGTCACTAGTGCCCAACAAATAAGAACTCTTCATCCTCTCCAAGAAGCTCACTTCCATGCCTTCCCTCTCCCTTTCATCATCACTCAACCTCCCTTGTTCCAATATATGCACCACTTGTCTCATCTTTGGCCTCACCTTCGGATCAGGATGCACACACAAAAGTCCTATTCTCAAAGCCATCTCTACTTCCTTTATCTCAAACCTTTCTCTTACCTTCAACCTCTCATCCAAACCATCAACCACTTGGTCTCTCTCCATTAGTCCCCACATCCACTCCACTATCCCTTCTCTTCCTTCCTCTATTGGCCTCCTTCCACACACTACCTCCAACACAAACACTCCAAAGCTATACACATCTGTCTCCACAGATGCTCTCCCTGTCTTAACCAACTCAGGCGCCATGTAACCCGCTGTTCCAACCACGTGAGTAGTACTAACCATCTCTTTATTAGCGTTTTGCAACTTAGCTAATCCAAAATCACCAACCCTAGCGTTCATATCCTTGTCAAGCAACACATTACTCGTCTTAATATCTCTATGCAACACTTTTGACTCCCACCCTTCATGCAAATACAACATCCCCGAAGCTACGTCTCTTATCACTCTCATCCTCTCTTCCCACTCCAACATCATATCTTCATCAAACAACCTCTTATCTACACTCCCATTCTCCATATACTCATACACCAATACAAGACACTCACCTCCTCTCTTACACCAACCTCTTAGTCCCACTATGTTCTTGTGTCTTAACCTCCCTAAACTCGAGACCTCCGCCAAGAACTCACTCGTCCCAGCCACACTCTCTCGAGGACTTATCATAATCCTCTTCACCGCCACTTCTTTACCTTCCACCACTCCTCTATACACCTTCGAGTTGCCTCCGTATCCGATCATATTCTCTTCCGAAAACCCTTTCGTCGCTTCCAAAACGTCTCTGTATTGAACTCTATGAGGCCAATACTCTGTCTCCCAATCTTCAACATCATCATCCTCTAGCCTCCTTCGTCTTCTCCCTCTCACAACATAAAAAACAACCCCAATAATACAAACTAGTAACATAATAGCACCAACAGAGACCCCAGCGATGAACCCTCTAGAGTTCAAAACAGAGTCGTCTCGTAAGTTAAACGAAGGAAGGTTCCTTGTGATCAAAGCATCACCAATAGAGAAGTTAGAGTTGCTAAAACTCCACGAGAGGATCCTATGACTCTGCACTAGTAGCCCCGTGGATGCCGTGAACCCCACGAACATGTCATCCACTAAAACTCCAGTTAAATTCAAAGGAATGCTTATGAGAGGTCTCACAGGTTTCACCGAGCCGGCTCTAGTCATCGTGACGTTGATCACCGAGCCGTTAAACTCGATCCAAACCTGATAGTTATCTCCACTGTTAAGCCTTAACTCCGTGAACGCACCACCGTCTCTGTAGAAGCCTGCGACGGCAGAGGAGACGGAAGTTAAGGAGTTAACGTCGACGCCGACGTGGTTGTCGTTGATGTCGTTGAACTCTTGGTTCGAGAAGACGTCGAACTCGACTGCGAAGATACGGTTGTTTGTGTCGCCGTTGTTGGTCAAGTTGAAGAGGCCGAGGTGCTGAGCTGACTCCGCGGCGGAGGTGTCGGAGGAAGGGAGGAAGACGAAGGCGAAGCCGTGGCCAGGGAGTCTGTTTTTGTAAGGGGAGATGGAGAAGATGAATGACGTGGCGAAAGGGAGAGGTGAAGAGGAGGAGGAGGAAGAGGCGGGGATTCTTGTAGGGTAGAGACCGCGTCCTATGGAGGAAGTTGTTTGGTTTGTGAGGGTTAAGATGGAGGGGGGAGAGTCGACGGTTGCGGAGATGAGGAGTGTGTTGGTGGTGGTGAAGTTGGAGTTGTAGATGAAATCGATGGATGAGATTGGTGGGAATAGGAGATGGGATGTGGTGAGAAGGAGGAAGATGGAAGGTTTGGTGAACATGTCTGAAGGATGTTGATCAGAGGACAAGACAGAGATGGAAAGTGATGAGGTTATGAGAAGGAGGAAGATATTTCTTTCGATTATTGTCAAAGAACCAATAATTCAAATAATGTCTGCAACCAGATGATTCTATTTTTTAGATAGAAAGGTAAAGTCAGAATAACATTAAATTATTAGTCAATACATAAAGAGATGTCTGAGCTTTGAATATAGTCAATGAACAAAAAGTCGACAAATTACGCCATAATATCCTGCGTAGAGAGATTTCTAATCAGGTACTTTAAAACTGAAGAAGCTATTGCGATGCGAATCCAAAAATACAATAAGATTATATTGATTTTTTAAAGATTTATTAACTCTGACCCAAATCCGATAGAATCTAAACCACTACTAAACCAAATTTTCATATAATTCAAGTGGGGTTAATTTTTATAAACCTGAAAAATCAAAATATGATTAGACAAAATCAAAACCTGATTGGGATCCTGGATGGTCAGACCTACTTATTGGAGATGCTCTAAAACCATTCTCCAATAAATATTTAACTCATAAAATATAGGCAATTTTTTATATACTAGGTGATTTTCCCGTGCTCATGCACGGGTATGAATATTCATAAAAGTAAAATTTTATAATAATTAAATGATATTTAGTTTAAATTTTGAATTAATTTATATTAATAAATATTATATTATTCTAATTATACATATGACTTTGGATATATTATTATTGGTTTAATTATTTTTTGTATCAATAGTTGGTTTGGTTATCAATTTGGTATATTGGATAATATCTATTTTTTGAATTCAGCTATAATATTTTATTCTAAATATAATAAAATTTTGACTAATTTTCTTATTTTCATTTCGTTTGGTTATTGTCTTAGATATGTAAATATATTCATAGATATGTAAATATAGTATAGTTAAATTATGTATAACTTAATTTATATTGTGCTTAAAATGAAATAAATAATAAGATGAAGTGTTTGATTTAAAATTACATAAATGAATATAATGATAATATTTTGAAATCTCATGCATATATATAAATTCTACAAAATAATTAAATTGTAATTGGTTAATATTTTCTTTTTCTTTTTAATATACTTTGAGAAAACCTCTAATTTATATGTATAAATTAAATATGTTATTATTATTATTATAAAATTATATGTTCTTAATCTAGTTAGATATTTAGTTTTGGATATAAATTAGATTAGTGGAGTCATTCATTTTGTGAGTATATTGAGTTCAATATATTTTTAAATTAAAATTGAAGTATAACTACTTTTTATTTTAGTTAAGTCAAATCAAATTAGTTATATTTATCGCGTAAATATACATGTATTTTCATAATATTTATTTACTCTTTATTTTAGTTAAGTAAAATCAAATTACTTTTATATATCGCTTAAATATACATGTATTTTCATAATATTTATTAAATTATATGTTGATTTCTAAAAATATTAGAAAATAAAGTGTAACTGATAAATTTTTGGAAAATCATGAACATATATATTTTAATTTATTTTTAAAATATATTTTATTTTATTTAAAATATATATTAATGGGGGTATTACTATTTTGTGAACTTTCCTTTTTAATAGAGTCATATTATATACATATAATTTCGTTTTAAAATTTTAGAAATATTTCTTTTTTATTATATATGTTATTTGGAAAAAGGTAATATAAACTAAATAAAAAAATTAATAATAATCTTAAAATCTAACAATTCATTAAGGGTATCTATGTAATCAACCATCGCGAAAGTTAACGTGAGCGCGACACGTAGGAAACTGACTTCTCAAATAATATTATAGAGATTAATTGAAGAGCATTATAATCTTTAATTGTAGTCATGTATTATCATTAAGATGATTTTTAGATTCCTTAAAAAATAGGTTGGTCTTTCTAAATAAATACTATATTTTTCTTTTAAACTAACTATCAAATTACTTAGTAGTGCATAAATATATTCTTCATTCTTTCTTTAAATACAATTTATGGAATTATTTAATATGATTAACATATAAATAACAATTGATGATTTATAATAAGAAATAGTTGATAACAGTTTTCGTATCTTTTTTTGTTTAATATATACTTTTAAAAATTAAAAAGTCACCTTAAGCATATAATTAAAAATTCATATTTTTCTTATATGTAATATTTAGATCTTATTTAAACGAGTAAAATTACTAAAACTATTAAAAATTTACACTGAAAATATTCTGAAAAATAGTTTTATTTTTTTGTTATAAAAAGATACAAATGATCATAAAATCATATAAACAAAAACTATGAAACTTCAATTAAATATTCATATTAAAATATATTATATATCGATGTCAATATCATTTAAATTTAGTTATACTTATATACAATAGAAAATAAATAAAATGATTACTTTGATGTATTACTTTGATTTATGTGTTTATTCCAATTTAATTATATATATATAATATTTACTCGCTTTTCAATTATTTAATATATTTATTATTCATAATACGTAAATGAACATAAATAAATAATAATATGTAAAATAATTTGTACATAAAACATTCATTTTCTGTAATGCATGGATTTTAACCTAGTAATTGTAATGAAACTAAAAATACAATAGGATGAATATTAGTTTGAGAAAATTTTAAAAATCTTTCGAATTTGATACTGCGTGTCGTTCATCTCAAGAATACCTATATTCATTTCAAATGATATATAGCACAGAAGCAATTTGACAATAACAGCACAGAGAAACTAATGGTGAATCCCACACCGATACAATGAATAAGCGGAATAAGTTACAAGTTACAACAGATTAGTGCTCAAATCAATCTTTTGGGTTGGTAGATACATATGTTAAAATATTAAAATATATTAGTGAACTAATGTAAACTCTAAAGGGTATTGCCGTATTGGTGTGAAAATGCTTTAATAATCTCTTGGAATTAATTTTGCATTCTTTTCTCCTCCCATCCAAGCCGCTGGGAATTAATGTTGAAAATGTTCTTATTATTGTGCTGTCGACATTTATGGGGTTGGACTTATTGGTCAAATAAGTCAGCCTGTAAAAGTCAAAAAATTCATCTTCTTCTGATTTTTTTTGTAACTTTCTTCTGATTTTTCTCACAGATTCTTTCAAACATGTTGCAATGCACATTACTCAACTTATTCGTTAAATGTAATCATCATGGTATTAATTCTGAGATCACATCAATACCCTAATAGTAAGTAATAACTACTAATTACAATGTTTAGGTCTCATGTCATATTTACTTCAATATATATGTTCAAACTATGTATCGATCATGATTCATGTGGAGAACTGTTTTGAAGTGGTGGACATAATTGCAAACATAATCGATTGGGCAGTTTTTGCATCCAATTAGTTTCATTCCATTTACTATGAGACGATTTTTCGAGGTTTTATTTCATATCCCAAAATTAGGAATATGAATTTTATTTCATTCATCCAGACTGTGGCAAGATTAAGGCACTGATAGAATGAAGCTGATAGTTAAAGATTTTGGTTATGAAAGAATAGATTGTGTGTATAAGGAACTGATTGCTGAAAAGGAAAAGGATACAAGATATGAACTTGAAGTGTACATGAAAGAGGCAGTTGAAACTCCTAACCTCTTGCTTGGCATTGAGTTTGATATTCTCTCTTGATGGAAGGTTCACAAGATTAAGTACCTTGTGCTTGCTGAAATGGCAAGAGATCTCCTCGTCATGCAAGTTTCATCAGTGGCATTCGAAAGTGTTTTTAGCACAAGTGGTAGGATCTTGGAGCCATATTGAAATTGTCTAACTCATTACATGATAAAAAATTTCATGTGCACTGAGCAATGGATGCATGCTGACATCTAGGTGAGTGAACAAGTCACTACAAATGAGCAAATGCTTGCTAATGTGGAGTTGCTTGTCGACTTCAGAAAAGTTTGTGTATCTCTTCACTTTCTTTTTACTATCTTCTGTACTTTATGTGTTTATGCTACCTCGTTTCTCATGCTTTGTTTTTATGTCAGAGTTTTAAGCCCAGCGGTTTGATGATCGAAGCTTCAAGGTCAAAGTATGAAGTAACGAAGGCGGTGAAAAAGTATAGAACTTGAAGTTTTTTGCATTTGAGTTTTATTTTTTTGAAGTTTGAATAATATTTCTCATTTTGGTTTTAAAAAATTGGTTATGGCTTTAGCTTTGTTTGAATTCTCTGAGTTGTTAAGTTTTTTATTTTACTATTAATAATAAAGGTACTTTCGTTTCATATATGTCTTGTCTTAGGGTTATGATGATTTTGAATGTTTTATTTCTGTGTTTTTACTTACTTGCATTGCAAGTTACGAAATTATCAAGCTTTACAATGGTTACATTCGCTACAAATGGTACATCTAAGAACCGAAATACAGACATAAACCCGTTCCCAAAAGTATTCCGAATTATACTAGTTCCATGCAAGTCTACCAATCCCGACCCGAACCGTATAGCCCCCAAACCGATACCAAACCAATCTTTAAATTTACCCGAATGGAACTTGTTTTTGTTAACCATGAAAACCTATGGAACCGACAACCGAATGGTTTACCGGTTGCCCAGCCTTAGTTAAAATAGTAGAAAAAAAATTTACGAAACAACTCTTTCCAAACCAGAAACCAATGATGTTCCACCGTTCAAACTTTATCTTCATCTTATATGGAGACATGTATCACCACGATGTAAGTTTTTTTTTGTTGGTTTGTTCTGTTTGTTAATTGAGGAATCAACTCTTTGGTTCTCTTTTTGTTTGTTCGGTGTTCTAAAATAATTCACAAAGCTCTGGTCATCTATTTCACAAATCTCTAGAGTTTTGATACAACGGATCTGAATTTGCGTGGCTGATTTTTTTTCATTGGTGATTATCATCAAAAAACTGTAGCAACCTCTATAGAAGAAACTTCTATCTGTTGTTATGATCTCCGTAATCGTAAAAGGGACTCAATGTATCCCTGTTTTTTTGTATTTGCATTTTTTTGTCTCATAGTGTTTTGTTGATATTTGTTTTAATGTTTGCTAACGAGTTTTAAATTTTAATCAGTCAAATGGTGATTTTGAAGAAGGTAAAGAAAGACCTGGTGACAATTTTGGCAATTTTAGAAGCTTCCTGCTTACACTACAAGTGACTCGGCCGTCACTATTCTCGCAGAGTCGTCGAAATTGACGAGTTCCGGTGACTTTCTGAGAAAAGTTATATCGTAGGAGTTTGGGTCTCGGAAAGTTCAAGTTGTCGCCAAGTTCTTGGAAAGCTACCGACAGATCACATCTTCCTCGTTACGTTGTCGGAAATTTATTGGTACTTTTCGAGATCAAATGTCCGAAAATTCATGATCATTAAATCGTCGGTTATTTACCTTCAAACTATGGGCATTCTCGGAAAATAGACAGAAATGATCATCTGAAAATCATCGGAGTCTTCCGAGTTTCCGAGAAAATTTGTCAAGATTAAAAAAAAAAAAAAAAAATGTCTCAAATCATTAGCGACATTTATGTTCTTTTGAATTTTATGGGTTCGCTTGTTTCTCTGTTTTGACAGTTCTTGAATCAATTTCTCATATCATCTGACACATACTCGGTTTTTGAGCAATCATCATCAATTCATTCTTCTATGAATAAAACGAAACAAAATTTTCCATTAAGCATCTAGAAAATATTATGAGTAGTAAAAATAAAATGAAAAGAATGAAGAAGATGTGGTTATAGCCTATAGGATCTGAAAACGTGTATAGTCATTGGATAGGGAATTGTATAGATATATATAGAGCGAGATTATAGTGACTGTAAGAGTAATGAAAGGAGTGATTCTCGTGATATGATATAGATGAGTAAATGATATTATATATTCATTCCTTTAACCATTGTTACCTTCTTCGATGTTTGAGAATTAGAAAAAAGGGATAAACTGAAAACAAACTGAGAAAAGATGAAGTGAGATCGGTTAAGAAATGTGGCTTACCAACAAGCATGTTTATCGGTATTCTCTTGGAAACCAAATCCCAAAATTTTAACCTGGAGTGTTGTCGAGAGTTCGAAAGTTTTAAGCACCAAACACAACTTCACATTCTGAGAAGTTACAGATGGGATATGTACTCTTTTACAGTTTATTGGTATACTGAATCTGTTATTTTAGCAAGGCAATTCAAACTACGTTGAGGCCTGATCTTTACCGGTCACAACATATTTTCTCTCAGAAACAAAGATATAATCGCTCTAATAACTGTAAAGTTACTGATACTAGTTGCATATTCCCCGCGCAAGCGCGGAGCCGGGATCATTATGTTTGCGTGTATTTTTTTCAATTGTTGGTTTAGTGGATTCTTCTAATGACACCAATTAATAATGAAATGGAAAATTTCATGTTTTTATATCGTATGTCAAAACTTAATATAACTCTATATTTAAAGTATTTATATTTGTATTAAACGATTTATCAATATGAAAATAACCTTAATTAAGTTAATATTCGTTGTTTAAATTTCATTAGATAGGTTTTTATATATGGTTTTTTGTAAGTTTCGGTTTTGTTCATAAATTATGTGGCATTTTTATCTACGGAGTCATCGACTGTGGGAATTCATTCGCCGAAGACTA